GACACCACAGGTCCCAATCATCTGGGTTCTCTTCTGCTGAATATAAACTATCTTTTATGTACTAAAATTTCAGACAGGTCTCTGTCTGACTATAAACAATAGTTGTTTGGGCCAGAAGAGGTCTTTGGACAAATTTTGAGTCAATCAAATTTTCTGTGAAATACTGGAAACTTGGAAGGTCTATTTTCAGGGGTTGAGGGCTGCCTTCTTAGCCACCACCATGTAGGAGATGCAAGAGATCTGATGGACAAAAAGAGTACAATGGAGCAAAAGTGCAGAAAAAAGCAGAGATATGTTAGCAGGACTGTCTGTATTCCTGACATCTGAACTTCCAGTTGTTTGTGCCCTCTGAACTCTTAACCCAAGGTTTGGGGCGACCTCACTTAACTCAGGTTGATTCAAGTTGCAGGACTGGATGACCTAATTAAGATACTCTAAACATAATCACAGTTGTTAGAATAATGGCACCATACATTTCTTAAGTCTCTTTTCTTCTTCAAATACTTTCAAATTCATTCATTACTTGATCTTTACATCAACACCAAGAGTTAGGCAGGGAAAGAGTCAACGAAAGCAAAAATAGTTAATTCTGTAGTTTTCCCTCAAACCTCTTGTGAATGCCCTTTGAAATCTCAATCTATTTGGTTTATGTACTTTCAATTGATTCTAACAGTAAATATCTCCTGCAAACATGTTTCTTTTAGATGTAGGATGTCCCTTACTTTCAAATGAGGTGTACTCCTCAAAACAATACATATACATGTACATACATGTACATATACATACAAACATATTCACCTTATCTAATAAGTGTGGAGGAGGAGTTCATTCACAGAACAGTGAAAATTATTATAAAATTCTTTAGATTTACCTGTCCTTTAGCTATAATCTTCACCAATATTTTTTGTTTTGTCCATATTCTTTAATTTTGTTCCATTCACTTACAATTGTTCTCATAGTTGACTGACGTAGATCTAATGAGCCAGTACTAAAAACTGGCTACTTAGGAAAAGTAAAATTGATCCTTATCTCAATTTTATTTACTTTTAAGACCTATACTTTATTTTGATAGTGTTAATTTTTATCATTTTCAAGTTTTCATTCAGTTTTATAAAAAAATATTACCAATGGTAAATATGTATTTAAAGAATTACCCAAAAACTGTGGGAAGCCAAAACTGACAATGAGTATTGAGTGTGGACTGATAATTTAAGAACAAGAATGCTCATTCATAGTGTACTGCTTGTTCTAACTGTCCATATATGATAGAAGTGTGGGTAATGCAGAAATCAAGGTTACTTTTATTATTATTATATACACAGTGATCTCATGGCTGACAATTTAAGTGTCCTGTTATCTTCTCAAAAGAGCTCTGGTGGTGTAGAGCCAAGGCATTTGACTGATAACCAGAAGGTTGAGGTTCGAACCCACTAGCCACTCCACAGAAGGAAGACTGGGTAATCTGCTTCGGTAAAGATTTACACCTCGGAAACCCAAAGTGGGGCACTATGATTTGGAATTGACTCTATAGCAGTGAGTTTCGTTTTTGGTTTATTACCTTCTCAGGCAAAACTCCAGGCGTTTCTGCTTAGCCTGAGAGAAATGTAGAAAGCGACTTTGTGGTTGAAATCCATCCCAGAGTTGAACTGGTCCAGTGCAAGGTAGGATTATATTATTAGAAAATTTCAGAAAAGACTAGGAATTTAGGACACAGTGACAACAACATTGAGCGTTAACATTTCCTGAGCACTAACAACATTCCAAACATTGTTGCTGAACACACTAATTTGTTTTCATGCACTTTCATGTCACAACACTTTGAAATAAGTGCGTAGCATAGTGCCTAAGGCACTTGACTGCTAACCAGAAGGCTGGTGGTTCAAATCCACTAGCCACTCCTTGGAAGGAAGGTTGGGCAATCCTATTTCCGTACTGATACTGCCTCAGAAACCCAAGGAGGGGTCACTATGAGTAGGGGCCGACTCTACGGCAAATAACTAACAATAACTGAAAAAACAAACCTATTGCAATCCAGTCAATTCCGACTCAGAGCAACCTACAGGATAATGTGGAACTGCCCCAGAGGGTTTCCAAGTCTATAATCTTTAGGGAAGCAGGCTGTCACATCTTTCTGCCATGGAGTGGCTGGTGGGTTCAAATTGCAGATTTGGTTAGCAGTCAAGCACTTAACCATTGTACCATCAAGGCTTCTTAGGTACCGTTAGTACTCCCATTGGGAGCTCTAGTGGTGTAGTGCCTAAGGCATTTGACTTCTAACCAGAAGGCTGGTGGTTCAAATCCATCTGCCATTCCTTGGAAGGAAGATGGGATAATCTTCCGTAGTGATACTGCCTCAGAAACCCATGGAGTGGTCGCTATGAGTTGGATCCAACTCGAAGGCAGTGAGTGTTTTTTGTTTTTGTTTTTGTTTTTTTTTTTTGAGTACTCCCATTGTAGAAGTGAAGGAACTGAAGCTTCGTGATGATAAGAAAATTGCTCAAAGATCCTGGATAGAGTGGGAGAACAATGTGGAACAAAACTTAAAATCATAAAAAAGACGAGGTTTACTGGTCTGATAGAGCCTGGTGAGTTAGACCCGTGAGACTATGGCCCCTAGTTACCCTTCAGGTCTGGAACTGAACTCGCTCAGATTGCTTCCAATCAAAAAATAGACAGGCCTATAGGGTGTTGCGGTGTAGTAAATTACTTAGTGTGGCTTTTCTACCCATAAGTCTTTGTAAACTCTAAGGTGGGAATTGCTATTAGCTACGGAGGAGATCCTGATTTTAAAGTCGCCCACCTGGGTTATTTCTGTTGGGCGTGGCACAATACAACGTTCTGGGAAGTTCCCACTCTCTC